TTCATTTAAACGTCTGTGAGGGCCAAAACAATATTGTTATCAAATAATTCCCTTTGTAACTTTATAAAATTTTGAAACTTTGTGGCACCCTATATAGTATATACCATTTCTACTACTAAATATTGATGTTCGATTTCAAAATACCACGTGTTCTAATTTATCAAATTAGTCATAATTTTCGAAATCTATTTATCCTACGCTGCATGATTACGCCTCCTTTTACTGTATGTCAGCAGGTCACTTTATTTTGAATGGTGCAATTTAGGACAAGCTGTTGCGCAATATCATTTCAATTACAAAATAGGATGTCTGAGGAACTAAGTATGTCTGACCTTGATCAGACAAAACGTTACAGACATATATTTGTGTTGGTGTGCAGCAAGATGCAGCAGCTCTTGAATCACCTAGGTTACAGTGGATCATTTCGTTTTTCAAGTATTAGGTTTTATATATATTGATGGATTTATAATTCTGACAAAAACTATTGCACAGAGGTTTCTCGAGCCTCTGGAATGTTGTATTGTGGTTCTGTTCAACCTAAAAGGTTGGGTTGGAGGAATAGTTTATTTTTTGCTATTGTTCATGAGATGTACGGGGGGGGGGGGGGGGGGGGGGGAGGCAATTTTTTGTGAAATCTCGCGACCCAAGAATGTGCTCAAATACTAGGCGGTATGTAGTTAATATGCTATATGTATGTGGTCACAAATTTCCTAATACGAAAATACCATCTTTACATAAAATTTATTTTTCCAAGCTTTCTCACCCAAAGTGATGAAGCTGCGCTTATTTGCCATAAGCGAGTTTTTAAAATCGTGGAGTGGCATAACTTGAGCAAAACAGCAGCTGCTGAGTTTTCACGCTGTAATACTTACAAAATAATATACAATTACTACTGAAAAACACAAATTTCGACTAAACTAGAAAATAGAAGCGGTAATTTTTATGTTTTTGTTGAAAAAACATGCGACCCGAGTATATTTTCATGCGACCCAAGTATGGGTCGCGACCCATAGATTGGGAAACACTGCGTTAAATCATAATTCAGTTTAAAAAAACATGTAAAATGGGAATAAAATATATGTACCATTTTGTGGAAAAAGTTTTATTGTCCTCATAAATGACGTCATCTGCATAATAATGTTACTCATTTTGCAAATCAGCGGGTTTCGTTATTTTGAATGACGCAATGGATAGCGAACCATTTTGTATTGTCATCACAGTTATGAAATAGGGCGTCATGTAGCGAAGAATATTTCACGAGGTTATGCTTTATTATAATCCAAGGCAAGGGTAGATGGAACATATATGTAGTGAGGGCTGATCCATAAGAGCAAGACTAAATTATTTTGAATATGCAAAGGATTTAGAATTATATAAACCAGCAACTAAGACTAACTATATCGTCTATTTATTATTCGAGGCAAATAAACTTACATATATATTATGGAGAAAGCGCTTTAAAAAAAGTGCAAGAATATCGTGTATATGTAGAGCGAGAAGACATATCAGAATAGGAGTTATGTATTTATATACGGTATCATTCTGATGTAAGTTGGTTCGGGCGAAAGGATTTTAAGTATTGGTACAATGAATTCCTATAATAATTGCGACTGACAAGCGATTTAATATTTCATTTATAATATCGGTATTTCACAAACTTGAATTGCAAATAGTAAAAAGGCTCTATTATTACTTATCGATTTCAATCGGTAAGTATGTTGATAGGTATTTGTCTGTCTGTTTGTATATCTGTATGTCTGTTTGTCTGTTAGATGCACGCGATATCTCACAAAAGCGAAATTTGCTCCAGATTTTGCATGTGCATTCATTTTATCTCGGACCAGAAGCCTATTGATTTTGGGCGAATTATGTCGTATAATTAGCGAGTTATTTATTAATTAGTGATGGGACACAAGGTGTCACTATGGAGTAAGAGCGCTGTTGTGGGGGATCTCCTAACTTTCAATCGATAAGTCTTCGGTCTCTGACCGATATTCTCGTTTACTACTTTTTATCCTAAATGATATAAATATTCTATGTCATTGTACTTTGCGTATTTTAAACGATCGTGTTTTTAATCCATAATCGATCAATCACTGGGGTGATTAAAGGCTATGCATAAATCAATATGATACAATGATCAAATAATGTATGGCTATAAAATTAAAGGGCAATAATATGCATGTGTAAGCGTGTAATGAATGGATGCTTATTTTGTTCAGTACTAGGAATGTTATGAATTTTCCTATTTATCCCAGGAAGAGTACTATTAGCGCAGTGCTACTCGACTATGTTTACCAAAGATTCGTAAGCAAAACTTCAAAATTACTGGATCAGGTCTTTAGGGAAAATATTTTCACAGTGCTCCTAAAGATATTTCAGTGCCTTTAACTTTGAAGTCAAACAGAAATACGATTTAAGAAAACTAAGTAACCGCGAAAATAAATGCAGATGCGATTCGAATAGTCGAAAGGTACGGATTTGGATAGCCCTGATATAGCGAACTATGACCACTTCGCAGGGTATTCAGTGGCCAAATTTGTTTATCGAGCAGTGGTACCCCTAAGAAAGTCCAACAATAAAAAAATTATAAAAACATAATACTGTAATAAACAACGTGTGATATATAAATTTATAACAGGCAGACTATTCAAAAACCGAAAACCTGAAAATGCCAGCAAGAAACACTTATTTATATGTAAACATCTCAAAGACCACACAACTGTTTTTCGTAATTAGTCTCCTCTTTTTTATATGTAATTATTAATTTCGTCAAAGTTTTCTACGGTGCGAAAATTTTGAACAAATAATACACGAGTTCATTTAATTTTCAAAATTAATTGGGTTACTTAAATAGTCATCATTCATTTATTTGTTTTCTCTCGAGAAGAGACGTTCAAGACGTGTTAAGGTCAAATTGTCTAACTCGTTTGACATTCGCACTAGGCTAGAAAGCATTTCGGGGAACAGACTGAGTGCTAGACAATAACTGTAACAAGTAAAATAAAGAAAATAGTGTTAGAAATTAGAGGGAATACCGTAAGTGGTCATATATATAAAAGGAATATGGGTGCTCTCGAAGTATGCGAACCAAGATGGCGGACATCGGAACGTAACATAGGTAACAGGTTAGGGTTAGGCGATAATTTCTTTCCAATTTTCCTTATTTTAGTCCTATTATCAGTTCGAAGACTAGCCAACACTAGCCTAACCTAGTACACATATTACATTTCGATGTCCGCCATCTTGGTTTGCTTACTTCGGGAGCCCCGGAATATGTATAAAAATATGAACTCCTGCGATAGCGGGAAGAGGTTGAATCGTACAAAAGCGCCAAATGATTTATTTTTATGAGACCATGATATATTTTCTTCACCAAGTTCTAGATCTAGATGGTTTACGTTTCGTCGAGATTGTTTCAAATTTCAGTTGCAACTTTTTGAGCAGATACATTTTTTTCTTTTTCTTGTAGTAACCAAAACGATTTTATTTTTGAGTTGAGACAAAATTTAGATGAGACTTATGCTAGACGTACAAAGTTTTACAAATCTCCAAATCCAGGCCAACTCTTGCTTCTCTGGCTATTTCAGAATAATTTCAATCTAGTTAACCTATCTGTCATTTTCTTCCATTTGAAGAATGACCATCACCATCAAATAAGCAATTGTTAGTCTCATTCAAAACGAGATCGACGGGTAAACCAACAATGAGGTGTTGAGTAGCAATATTTTGTCATGTTATGTGCTGACGAGTTCTTTCTGACTCATCAAGCGACGTCGCAGTACATAAGACAAATCCAATCAGCGAATAATAAATTAAAAGTGAAACTTGTATAGAGAGCTGACGACTTATTTTTTCACATTTTGAATGCCAGTAAACTCCTGAGCGGACGAATATTTTTGTTTTACATTTCGAATGCTCTGCATACAAATAAGAACAAGAATTTAGTTGTATATTCTTTGCCACTTGGCACACTTTGATTTATTACCACTAGAGTATGCCAGTAAACTCCTGAGCGGACGAATTATTTTTTTTACATTTCGAATGCTCTACATACAAATAAGAACAAGAATGTAGTTGTATATTCTTTGCCACTTGACACACTTTGGTTTATTACCACTAGAGCAGGGGTGGGCAACCCCTGGCACGCTTGCCAAACTTGGCACGCGAGCTCATTTATTCGGCACGCGAGCATTTATTCGGCAACGAGATCATTCTCCTTCAGATAAAAAGATTCAAGAATTATCTGATGAAACTCGGTGTTCGTTTATTCATTATCGTTTTTTAACAATTCGTTTTTTTAACTCTTTTTGTCCTTTCATGACATATAGCTACAAACAAATATATTATGACGTAACAAATGAGTAAGCTCTCGAGAAATTTTGTCGAGAAGGGTGCAACATTCATTTGGCTACATTCTTACGTAATATAGTTTGTCTGCGTCACCATTTTTCTTCATTTCTGCCTTATTTATGAAGTTGTACAGCTTAAAAACTTTGTCTTAAAAACTTTGCAACTGCATTACTCTCCATGTTTTCATTTACATATGCTTGTAAATCTCTGTTATCAGTTATGAACTCCATCAAGTATCGTAACAGTAGTAGCCCGAAAGATGGAACCAGTAGTTCCTCTGAAAGTAAATGTAAAATCTCTATCAGCGGTAATTCAGCAGCAGAAGTCTCACTGATATAAAATAAGAAAAGTAATCAAGTCTATTTGCCGGACTGATATTTTCCTGAATAGTGAAGTCTGTACATGTTTAAAAGGATTATTATTGCGTATTTTTGCTTTGAAAGTAGCAACGAATTGTTTTTAATTTTGGTCGGCACGCGGAAAAATTTTGTCGTCAAATTAAGCCGATTTTGGCACGCGAGCCAAAAAAGGTTGCCCACCCCTGCACTAGAGTATGCCAGTAAACTCCTGAGCAGACGAATTATTTTTTTTATATTTCGAATGCTATGCATACAAATAGGAACAAGAATTTAGTTGGATATTCTTTGGCACTTGGCACACTTTGGTTTATTACCAATAGAGTATGCTAGTAAACCCATGAAAATTATTATATTTCTATTGTTATGTATTGTTTCAGATCTTTATTATTTGTTTCTTTATTTTATTTTTCATTTCTCTTTTTGCTTATCTAATGGTGATGTGGACCCGATGACGGAGCAATACGTCTTTCACAACTCCTGTATTTTTTATATTACCCAAGAGCTTTAATGTTGAAACTTCTTAATTAAATTCACAAATAAAATACCTCTGGCTTCTCTTTAAAATACAGCAGTACGATAGAAAAACTGTTCAAGGGTTTGGGATCTTAATAACACAAAAGCGTGAATTGGTAATAATTGGCAGTGACGTCATTAATCAGGTGGACGATTTTGGGTAATAATGTGGGTTAAATGTCGCGGAATTATATAAATTCTCGCTTTTCAGAAAACGGTAATTCAAAATACAAAATGAATTTTATTTAAAAAAAAAACATGCTAGATATACAGTCGGGTGTAAATATTAACCTTGAGAAAAAATTTCATGGTATTTTCAGCATAGTGCTTAACATCAAAATATCTCTGATCTATTCCCCTCTTAGAAGACATTAGAATAGGAAAATGATTTGCACTCGTCAGAGCTATGGACGATTGCTTTGTACTGGACTATACTTCTTTTTATGCGGAGTGGAATACGCTGTTATTCTACCGACTCTAAATGGATATCTCATATCTCTCGATGGACCCACTGGATTTCTTGGGATTATCATGTCTTCGTTCAGTCTTACTGGATTATTATCAGCACCGATATATGGGCGAATAGCTGATAAGACTGGCGCTAATAAGATGTGCGCCATCATCAGCAACATTTTTGAGATTATTGGGAATTTCATGTATTTTGTAGGCGGAGATTACCGGATATTGTGGGGCGCGAGATTGATATCCGGAGTTGGAACCGGAGCTGGATCTTCCTACTTCGGCATGATCTCAAAGACGACAACTACAAAGCAAAGAACTGGGGTCTTATCTATGCTGGGCTTCATGAGAAATGTGGGTATGCTTACTGGTCCCGGATTCAATCTGTTCCTAAGTCAGCTGGATTTTAAACTTGGACCATTTGATGTGAATGAGTTTTCTTCACCTGGACTTTTTATGACAGGAATGTGGACAATACATACGATACTTGTAATGCTACTTTTCAAGGATGTTCAAAAAGACTTCTGGGCTGAAGATAGTGAACCGACGCGACAAAGCAATAACGGCATGCTACAGAACAGTGAGCATTCTAACGAAAGAACAAATTCCCCGGAAATTCCTAAAACAACTAGAAGTTTCCGTGACGAGTTTTTGAGGCAAGAAGTTCTGGTCTGCCTGCTCGTCTCGTTCATGTCTTGGGTAGCGCTGACTGGGTTCGAATCAGCAGCGACACCGATCAGCTTATTATTTTTCGGCTGGGGCGGAATTAGTAATAGCTTCATGTTTTGTGCAGGGGGTGCTGCTATAATCTTTGTGTACGCAGTAATTGGCGTTGTCAACAGAAAGCTGACGGATCGATTTATTCTGCTGGCAGGTTGTTCTGGTGGTGTATTATGTTATTCAATATTCACGGTTTACTCCACTGTTTTGTATTTTAGAAAAGATGTCGAAAATCCTGACTGGCTTTTGCCATTATTTTGGGTTGATTGGATTATTTTAACAATGTGTTTCCCGCTCATTATTATTCCAATGATGTCACTGTATTCAAAAATAACAAGCATTGAGACACAAAGTTTCAATCAGGGTGTTCTGCTCATGTTTGCTGGCGCTGGTCGTATCCTGGGCCCGTTGTGGTCTGCGCCAATGGTGACTGAAAAACGTTTGCCTATTTTAGGCGGTCTTGTTCTCATTTTGATGTTTGTTGCTGTAGTCTTGATATGTACGACGTTCAAAAAACTTGTACCGCGTGACAATCAAACTCAGACAAACGGACACACGACCAACGGTAATGCATTAGCGAACGAAAAGACCCCTTTATTGAATATCGATAAAATTCATGCATGATATAGCTAATAAAATATATTTGATTTATTTTAAATATCAGGTCTTTTGAACTTTTGTGCTGCTTTTCATATCATGGGTGATGATATAAAACTCATTGCAATTTTTTACAATATCTTAGAAAATTGATGTTTTTGTTCTGTCAACAGCAGTCCAAGATGTCATGTACACAAACCGTATACCGTATATATATAAATATACATATATATTTTGTTCTGAGCATATTAACTTTTTAACTTTTCCTAGTGCTGGGTGAACAATTATTATATTGAGCAGAATAATCCGTAGATTGTTTGAGGGAGCCATCAAAATCTCACTTAGAGAGAAACATCACGACTAGGAAAATTTTTGTGAAACTTTGTGTGACGATAATGTACAGATTTTAGACCGAATATATGGACTGGTGCTGTTCTTCTGTACTCACAAAACCATCATGGGCCCAATGATGAGATAATTATTGAACTTCATGTACCAATTTCGAACGTTTCTCGTGTAGTGGTGATATTTTTACGATAGTCAGAAATAAAATGTCATTATATGATTGATGGCATACGTTTCAAAATAAGGTTGAGAGGTCACGCTTTTATTGAATATTTATATATTGACATGATTATTTTTTTTATTTTCAAAACGTAGTTGAATAAAAAAGTGGGCTAATATCGCAAAATAATCCCCTGAATTATTTAACGCGTCTATTAGCTTTTCACCAACAGAAATTTTTAATTTCACAATTTTGCTGCCATAGACGTTTGTACCTAAAGGAAATTTGTACGCATACATATTTGCTCCCGTCGGCAGTTACAAATCATAAATATGGACTACTGAGAAAACGAATGGATGAAAGTTGTGCAAACATGTAACTTTGGAAGTTATTTATTTACAAAAACAAATGCATAGGTACAGGCAGGTAACGATATATAAAGCAAAATGAAAATACAAAACGTTAGTTTGACTTTAATTGATGAATAATACGCCCAGATCAGTTTAAAATGCTTTGAAAAATAAAGACTAGTTCCACGCAAAAATTCGACATTGATAACCGTTATATGTGTGCATTTTCCAAGTTTTGAGTTATTGACAATTAGATGGGGGTCATTGCTTCTATGATTTACTCGAACTTGCGTTTGGAATTATTGTTTGCATTTATTTATACTATTTTCCAAGTACTTTTGTGGAATAGGAAGACACAAACTAAAAATGAGTGTCAGTGTATATTCAAGTTGAATCTACCACTCATTTTTAGTTTTATTTATAGCCTGATTTGAAGATAAAAAGTGAGCGTTTGGTGAAATCTGAGACAAGTTTCTCATATATATATAGTGTAAGCAAACTTTCGCTTGACAACTTTAAAGCGTTGCCAGAATTATTTAGGTCACGGAATGCAGTTTTTTATATCCTTGATTCACGAATTTGACAACTAAGGTATAAACCTGATAAAATACTAGAATTATAGAAATCACAAACAAAAAAAAGATTACATATAAACACGCATAAAAATAAAACAAATAAATGGAACCAAACGAGCAAGGCATACTTCAGCAACTATAATAATAAAAATAACAATAAATCTGCCTGTAAAACCCAAAATAATACAAAAACACACAATTTGTATACAAAACAAAACTGAATATATATAAAATAGGCCAGAATCAGCGGCGAAGCCGCGGTTGATTTTTCCAAGATGAAAAATATTTGAGTATTGCAAAAAGAACGTTGGCTGGATGTATATCACAAGCGACACCAAAATCATATATGCAAATCAACCCCAATGTTATATATCGCTAGCAACCGGCACTGAATGTTATACAGGGTGTCCATAAAGTCGCTTTACAATTTCAATTTTGTTATGAAGTCAGTTCCCCATATATCTTAACCAGGTTTGTTGTTTTTTAATCAGTAGTTATTCAAGTATTTATACTTCATTTCGGTATTGTGCGGGCGAAAATAATATATGGTATCGATGAATGA